ATGAGTTATTTTTGGGGTTTTTTGGGGGTGATGTGTGTTTTTTTGTTTAGTTAGTTTTTTGTAGTTGTTGGGTTTTTGGGGTTTTTTGGGGGGGGGATTGTTTTGGTTTGGTTTTTGGTTTTTTCATTTTTTTTTACAGACTTGTTTTTAGCACTTGCACCTTGGACAAATTAGTCATCTTTTCCCTTAAAAAAGAAGTTCTACTACAGTTTGACTTCCGACAAGTTTATTTTTGTGCCTTCTCAGTCCATTTATTCCATCTGTCTTCACCTCACCTCACTTCTGACGTCTTCTGTTATCTGGGCATTCTTCCAAACATACTAACTGGCAGCTACAAAAAAAGGAAACCTTTGAAATGCAGAACTAAAGAAGTCATTCAGGCTGCAAACTGATAATTCATACACTTTATATCCTGTTCTGTATTTTTCTTTGTGTTGGACTGAAAGGCCAAGCAAAACATGCTTGTCAGTTTTATTATTTTACTATTTTCCTGCTATTATTTTTTATTGGGATTGCCTTTCCTTATAAAGAAAAAGAACCAAAAAAACAAAACAAAAGAAAATAGCACAGCCCATGACACCAGGAACAGAGAGAAGATTCTGAGGATATCCTTACCTTTTCACATATCTAGCACTTGGATAGAAAGAGAGGGGGGAAAAAAAGAGATAATGCTAAGAAGCTGCTCAGCTTTGCTCCGAAATTTGTACCTCTGGTAGCCATTCCTGCAGCAGTAACTTATGCGGACGACGTAAGTTCAGAGTGCCTGGCTCTGCCACCTGCTCTTTGTCACTGCAATTTGGCTTTAGCGCGTTGTATTCAAAGGAGCTTGAACCTGGCTCCCAGTTCAAATCCATGGCAAGATCTTGGGTTTGGTCTGTAAAGTGTTAGTGAGTCATTTGTCAGCTACATCAGGATTTTCCAGTCTATTTTCTGTCCCCTGAGGCAACTCCGTATGTACAGGGCACTGTTAACTAAACAAGGCCAAAGACTCAGCTTGTAGCTGCACACCATAAAGCATCCCTAACTGGAAGTTTAGTTTTGGAATCATTTGCCAGCAGGGACAAGAGTGAAATGTTTAATCAAGAGGTCAACCTGCAGAATAGCAGGATGCTCCCTGTGCACCCTAAACCCTTGCTAATTGATGAATTCTCTCAGCTCTTCACATCCTTTGATTTCAGATTCAAATTTTGCTGGTTTATTTCTTGCACAAAGGAGAGAAGTGCTTCATTTGGAGTAAGGTTTATTGACAGGATTGGACTCAAGGTGTGCTCCTGTTGGAATGCAGATCATTGGGGTCAGCTTGAGGTCTTTTTCCCTATTACCCCTCCTCACATTTTTCCTGCCTCAGCATCTTCTCTGTGGGTGTGCTTGCCAATATGAGTTTAATTTTTTCCTTTCCATTTGGCACATGGTTTCTTTTTCTCAAACAGCTTCAGTCCCTAACTTGCTCTTCTCCAGCCTGTTACCTGCCACTATTATCCAGCTGTAAACATCGCACAGCTTAATCATAGTAAAAAAATTCATGCCTATGTGCGTGCTTTTTCTCCTCCTCTGGGTATTTCCAAGATAGGAGTTGAAGTGCAGACTGGGAGACTGAAAATTATTGATAGACAACACAAAAGAATTTGACAAAAAGAAAACATCTTTCCTTTATCCAGTTGGCAGCTAGTGATCTCTCAGAACAAAGTTTATTGCTGATTTATTGATAACAGAAGAACTGGAGTTGTAAGACACATTGAAAGGTAAACATTGTTAGGTCCCAGTATTAGATAACAATTGTCTGATCATGAACAAAGAAACAGAAGGACAGAAGTTGAGTATTGAGTGACTGGAAATCACTTTATTCTTCAGACAGTTTAGTGTGAAACAGCACTTAAAAAAACACTCAAAGAAAGCTTTAAAAATACTCCACCATAGTCTTCACTTGCTATTTTTTGAAATTGAGCATAGGATTATAAAATGACTAATATTGATTTATCATTTGGTAATTCTAAAAATTATTTCAATAAATCCTTTGAACCACATCAAGATATCTGAAGTTGTTGTATACAGAACTATAAAGCCAGAGGTAATAATGTCTTTCCCTTTTAGTAGTAATGTTATTGTAATATTTTGGGACTCGGACAAGTGTGTTGTACTAATCCACTCTACAGAGCATCATATTTGATTAACCTAAAGTGTTCACACTTCCATAAAGAGAATTTTCAGGAAGATTTTGAGATTTAAGTCCTTTTGGCCCCAGTGGAAATGAGTATAAGGAAGAAATCTGTGTTACAGACTGCCAGCTTTGTTTCTGTATTTTGAACTAGATTTCACAGACACTTAAATTTTGTTAAAGTTTTGCTTTCTCCTACCTCTCTGTATTGGAGTAAGTCCTAAGGCACCTCTGTCTTTAAAGGGTAAAGAGATTGGCTTCCTCTTTCCAACCTATGGAGTAAACTCCAAACATTTCCACAGATTAGATGAGTTGCAACCCCTGTCTCCACTAACCACACTCTGGATGGTGTTTTCTTAGCATGGAATATTTCAGCGTGGTTCAGAGGCCACCACCCCTTTCCTTCAAAACACAAAGGGAAGGAAAGAAATCTAAGTGCAGACTTCTGCTCTTGTTTTTCCAAGTGGAAGATATAGTGCTTGCAGGAATAATTTAGAGATATACTTCATAACTGGAGAAAATGCACCACTTCTTGTTTTTCTCTATTTCCTTTTGCACACTTAGTTGTGCTCAGCCTTTTGCATTTTGTAGGTCTGTTTGGAGGTTTATATGCAACATGTGTTTTATATGGAAAGAAGAGGGTCCACCTAAAGGCTGTGGGGGCGAGGTGCCTAAATTCTAGTGTGAATCCCAATGCTTTGCACTCATGATATCAATCACAGCCTCAACCTCTAAACCAAAAAATCAGTAGATGTTTTGTGATTATAGCATAAATAACCAACATGGTTAGGCAAGATAAGCATATACAGTTTTGAGTATTAAATCTCGGCTGTTTTTGTGAAATTAGTTGCCTTCCCTGGTCACAGTTTCCACATTAGACCATACTCTCTGCCATAAAAACCTTTGCCTCTTGTGCCGATGAATGAGATTAATCTTCTAAAACCTTTAGCATACTACTTGCATCACTACAACATAAATAAATAAATAAATAAGCCTACCACATAGTTTCAAACTTTGCAGATTCAGGGTTCATTAAGAAGTCATCTCTCTTTTTCCTTAAAAAGAAGACAACCATGTAGAATAATAGAGTTCTCTGTCTAGCATACAAATCCATCTGGAAAGAATTTAGTCTGCAATAATTGTGGGCATTTGATTTAGCATTAAATCCCTGTAGGTAATTCAAATGTAAATTTATTAGGGTGAGTTTATCCCCAAGCCGCTGTTGGATCCAATGTTTGGAGATGAAATTGGCCCATTGCACTAAAGCTAGAGCCTGCATTGTTTCTGTTGCATCAGGATACTATTACATACCATAATGTCTGTCGTTATAAGCAGACATTTACTCGTAATAAAGTCAATAGAGACAATACAGACAATCACCTGACTTGCATTTATTTTTCAGACCTTTAAAAACTAGTCATTCTTTGGTTATGAATAGGTTTATATACTGGTATCTAAATCACTCAGACAACACTGGTCTAATTCATTATTCTGTTATGCTGTACTCATATGAGATAGTCTCTTTGGTTAAGTAAAATTCTTTGCATTTTACATTCTGCTTCAGAAAAAAGCCTTGTGTTTCAAGAGGCATTCAGCACATAATGTAAACAATGCCATCTGTCTTTTTCTTTGTAAAATCTTCTTCGAGATAGCCCTGATATGCCTACTGTTTTCAATCACTTAAAAGGCAGTAATCCAATTATATCATCCTCTATGTAGGAACTGCCATTGCTTTCAGTCCACTTCCAATCCTGACACAAGTAAATCACTTTGATAAGATCCTCTTTTTATTTATTTTTTTTCTGAGGAGACTAGCATAAGTAATGATGCCAGTGATAGACCAAGGACAAAATGACCATAATGGACTTTCTGTAGGAAAGGAAAACATGTGCCATTGTGATTTATCATGTCACTTGAGAAATACTTTTCCTTGGAATTTCTGCAACAGACACACTGTCCAAGCGAAGGGCATTAGCAAGTATGGATGGATAAATGGTAAAGTCAGACAAAAACCTTCATTAAACAGCAGTTTTAAGCAGCTATTGCAACTTAAATTTCTTAAACAGAAACAAAAGGTCAAAGCCATTTTGGAAATGTGCCTGGGTCATATTCCTCTTTGGTATAATGCCACCTACTTACATGAAAATGCGCTGGGAATGTGTAAGGTTGGATCTTCCTTACAAACTACTAAGGCTTATCGTGTAGATATGCCTTCCTTCTATTTAAAAATGGTTTGGGTGACTTCAGTGCTTTGTGCCACCAGTGAGGCAGGGGCCTGGCAGACACGTCTAACCTCCCAGAATAGATGTGGCACGAGATCAGTAGTATCTGCAGACTTCCTGCTACAAACTGCCCTCGACTCTGATGCTGAGAAAACATGGTTAGAGCTGAGCTGTCTCTTGCCTCTGATTTCAGAAAAATGGGAGAGCAGCAGATGAGGTGGTCATATGCAATTCAAAAGCTTGTTTGAAAGGAGCACTGGTGTCTCTTTGAACCCAGACCAATCCCTCAGCACAAAGAACCCCATTTGAGTTTGCATTTTCAAATTTATGGACAGTGCTGGTCTTACATCTTCTGTCTGAGACCACATCTAGGGAACACAGTAGCAAGTTCACTCTCTTGGCTGAGTAAGCAGGTAAGAGGTGATCATCCATATTAAAAAAACACAGGCCAAATTCAGTATTTTCAATGTCATGCTATGAGGTAAGTCTTCTGTTAAGTAATTTGGAGAGTCTGTGTGAGAGAACTGTGATCTGGACAGGAAAAAGGTACCGTATTTGAGCTAATAGATTGAGCTAATGCTGTTTAGGATGATGTTCATACAGTAGGTTGGTTTTTTTTACAGAGAAAGTGTGGAGAGCCTTATCCAAAAGCATTCCTATGCCCGATCCCCCATTCGAACCTATGGAGGAGAAGATGATCTTGGAGATGACAGCCAGGCAACACAAAGCAGAGGTAGGAAAACGTGCTCATGAAGTAAACTGTGGTGACCTAGTTATGCTTGAGAACACCAGGGCCACAATCAGTACTGTGGTACTCTAAAGCATTTCTCTGATGTGTCTCTCTGCCATGAAGTCCTGTAATGAAGAAGAATATTTGTTACTTTATGGTTCTTTGGGACATCTGATGTGCCTGTGACACTGGTGTAAGGGGTTCAGTTCAGGAGGCAGCTCTAGGGCTGACCATAATAGTCTTTGCCATCAGAAGAGAATCAGCTCTGCTTCCTCTTCAAGATGTCTGAAAACCAGGCAACTTCATTACCACAGTGCCAAGAACAAGCTAACATTGCCCACCTCTTAGCAGGACTTACTAACTGGGCCCTGCACCATTTGTAAAGTACCCTATAGATGTGCCACTTGCTGTCCCTCCAGCCTTCTGTGAACAGAGGACTTAGTTCTGACTATCTTCAACTGGCCTGTAGTTAACCTGCTTTGCCTCCACAGGAAGAAAGGTCTGTAGCTCCCTGGAAAATTGATGTTTAATTGTTATCTCTTAGTCTCTAAAAGGTGCTTTTCCTGCTGAGGCAATTAGCTCTCAAATGCTTTATCAGTTTGTCTGCTTTAGCAGTCGCAAAAGTAGTAGCAAGACAGATTTGTTCTTTGTGGGAATACTTACTGGACAAATTGCATCTGTCACAATTTGCCACTGGAAATAGATCTCAAATCCACCCTGTGGGATTGCTGACTAGCATAAACTTGTGTTGCATTATAGTTTGCATGTTGACTTTGTGACCTGTCTGATATGCTACAGCCACTTGAGGTAAAGCAGTTCTGTCTGTCTTCCGACTGGCAGTGCCCTTGTCTTGTCCTCTAACTTCATACAGTGTTGCTAAGATAAGAGCTTTATTTCTGGTCATAAGCTCTTTGGACTTGTACAGGGAAAACACACTTATTTTTAACTATGACTGGCTTTTCAATAAAATGGGATTAGGTGGGCTTGTTCTTACATGTCTGTTCTAAGAGCAGGTCCTTAGATTACAGAGTTTTTGGAGCAACTCCTCAGCTGGTATGATACCATCCTTTCACATACTTCTGGGGGATTGCCTTGCTTCACGTCTTCTTAGATCCTAGGCCAGCTATTGTTGAAGACTACTAAATTTTCCCTTACCAGAAGGGCTCAGAGCAAGGCACCTTCTCTTCCAAAACTAAATTTCTCCCTGGTGTGATGTCCTCCTTTGGGAGTGACAAAACGAACAAGGTAAACCTCAGTATGAGAGCTGGCCATTAAATCCTTTCTCTTCCTAAAAGAATCCCTAGGAAGGTATCATAGAAGGAAATAATACTTTATTACAGTTAATATTATGTATAATAAAAGGGTACAGTTCTGCATTTGCTCACAATATGGCAAGTGAGTAAGTGAGGAAGATTATGAATTATGGCAATGAACTTTTTTCTAATCTGTGAGCCATATGCTAGCATGGGACGTGATTGTTCTGGGCAACCAGAGGCATGCACAGAGGGTAAAACATACTGCTCTTGCAGATGAGCAACTGGTACTGCCTTTGGTCTCTCTTTATGTCTGGTATCCTTAAACAAGGAATAGTCCTGCCAAGATACAAGGAGAGAAATAATGTTCTTACTGAAAACCCATAGATATCTTCATTTCTTCCAATGCATTTTAAAACAATCTTGCATGCAAAACTGATGGATGTTCTTCCATACATATGAGAGCTGACAGTCAAATACATGCATGTTGCTGGGTGGCATGTGTTATAAGTTCTCTGATACCTTGATTGCCTCAGAATTACTAGAGCACATTTCCTTGGTGCTGGCAAATGTGGTATGTGACATTTTTTGGAGTACTAAGCTGCAGTTACAGACGATTGCAGTTGGAGGAGTAAAGGATGCTTGAGGAGGTTCCTTATGAGATTCACAGAATAGTTTGGGTTGGAAGGGACCTTTAAAGGTCATCTAGTACAACCCTCCTGCAATGAGCAGGGACATCTTCAACCAGATCATGTTGCTCAGAGCCCCATCCAGCTTGACCTTGTATATTTCTGCGGATGGGGCATCCAGCCCCTCTCTTGGCCACCTTTGCCAGTGTTTCACCACCCTCATAGCAAAAAATTTCCTCCTTGTGTCTAGTCTAAATATAACCACTTTAAGTTTAAAGCCATCACTCCTCATCACAACAGGTCATGCTAAAAAATTTGTTCCAAACTTTCTTATAGGCCCTCTTTGTGTATTGAAAGGCTGTAATTTGGTCTTCCAAAACCCTTCTCTTTTCAAAGCTGAACAACTCCAAATTTCTAAGGAAGTTTAATAATCCTAAATCTTACAGGAGAGGTGCTCCAGCCCTCTGATCATCTCACAATCGTTAATGAGAAAGAATCACATACTTTACGCTGCATAGAACAAAGAAATAAATAGCAGTGATAGACTTTCTAATTATTTCAGCACCTTGCCAGAGCATTCTCTGCTCAGATGATTTCAGCCATCTAAAGACGGAAGCTGCCAGCCTACAGTAGCACATTCATCACAAGACATTTATTTCCAAAGGAATTAACAGATAAGAAAGATACAAATCCAATTAAAAGTCTTTAATGCACATCTGCATTCACACAGAGGATTCATAGTAGCCACCTGGAACAGAGCCAAATGTAAACCTTCTAGGCAAATCCAAATTTGCATCCTGCTTTTCCTGTAGTGCAATAATGCTCAGATAACTCCTGATTTATCAAGGGTTTTGCTGTGGTTTGTGAGTAAAGTATTATCCTTAGAGTTTGTCTCTGGATCCTGACTTCCCAGTGGTTAGGATTTATTTCAGTGGTAGGGCCAGGATTTGGTTCATTTCCACTGCTGAATTCACACAATTTCTTTTTCTTATTACTGGACTGTTTTACTTATTTCATTAAGCAGGGAAAAAATTATTGTAAGTATCTGTCTTTCTGATTTGAGAATATATCCCTTAAGAGATGGATGATTTTTTAGAAATAGCAATTTGCATTTCTTTTCTTTCTGTTGTTTTCTGCTTATAACTTTGGTTTGAGTATGTGTCTACGATTAGTCAGTATACTTAATTCCAGTAAGTTTACCTTGACAGATAGATGTCTTCATATTTTTTTCATTTCACAATTTGGATGAACCTGCCTTTTAGAATCAGATTCATGAAACTATTTTTTTGGTCTCTGAATGTTTAGCAATACTGGCTTGAAATTGTATTTTGTCAAACACTCTTGCCAATAAATTTATTTTCTAAAGTAGGAAAGTTGGTCCAGAAAGAAAACACAGAAGGGACTTGAGTTGAATTATTGTTTGAAGAGGAATAAAGAGAGTTTATTTATGGAATTTTATTATATTCCCCATTTCTAGAAATTGGACATATGATGTTGAGTAGATGTATAGAGGAACTACAGAAGACAAAGGCAATACAGTAACCATATTATTTGAAAATGACCATGCATAATTATCCAAACAACTTATTAATTGTTTGCCCCAACATTTTACTGTCAACAAGTAATTAGTTCAAATTTTAGGAAGCCATTTTTATTTTTCTTTATGATTCTTCAATCTTCAAAAAAAGATTATTTTAAAGAGTATGAAGACTTGTGAAAATAATTTTTGGAACTTTTCAGATTAAACAAACCCAGAACAAAATGACAAACCACTTCCATTTGATCAAAAGCAGATAATTACCTTCAGAACAAGTTTGGCACCTCCTACTATGACTTAGCATTAGTGTTGTTTCTTGAAGCACTGTACACAGTTGGAAATACAACAAATGTTTTGACATACACATTTCTAGAATTTTTTGTTCTTTATTGTAGAAAGAGGCAGGTTGACTGGAAAGGTGTAGTGTTGACAAATTTTACTGGGTTAAAAAAAAAAAAAAAAAGGAAAAACTTGTAGTGCAAATTACATTTTTCTGCATTTTTGCCACACTGAAATTTTAAGAAAAAAAGTAAATAGTTCTACTGAGGATCTGGTGCAAAAACTACAAGCATGTCTTCAAAACGGGGATGTAAGGCAGTGAGATTCCATGACAGAGTAGATACTTCAGTGTTTAGTGGCAGCATTACAAGGTGTTTCAGTGCTCAACACCAAAAATGACTGATGCGCAAAGCTGATTTTACTGTTCAAATCACTGCAAACAGCTTCTTAAAATGGAAATTCATCTAAGATGTAGTGATAAAGGACAGCAACCAGCAAATAATAATAATAGTATAGAGAGTGAAGTATTTGGGAAGTATTTCTAGTGACAACTGGTCATTGAAATCAGCCTTGCTGTGAAATACTGATTTTCTCCCTTTTTGCTGTTTTACCAGTTTTGTGTGTTGCAGTGCCAATGTCAGGCATTCTTTTTCTCTACTTGCAGGGTCAGCCTTTACAACATCTGATAACCTGTCCCTGAGCTCCTGGGTTTCTTCTTCAACCAGTTTCCCAGGATTTCAGCATCCACAGTCTTTGAGTGCCCTGGGTACCAGCACTGCATCCATTGCTACACCCATTCCTCATCCGATCCAAGGATCTCTGCCTCCGTACAGCCGCCTGGGAATGCCTCTTACACCCTCTGCTATAGCCAGCTCCATGCAAGGTAGTGGTCCCACTTTCCCGTCCTTCCACATGCCTAGGTACCACCATTATTTTCAGCAGGGTCCTTATGCAGCTATCCAAGGACTGCGTCACTCGTCCGCAGTGATGACACCGTTTGTATGAGTGATGTAAGACAAGAGAAACATAACATTTTAAATGTGCAAGTTTGGTATGAGAAACACAAGGGACCTTTCTGAAAGGCCTGTGGCAGGAGCGCTGAACTCGTAACAAACCAGCTAAGAAAACGCATTATGGATATAGATTCCTCTTTTGAGGGATCACAAGAAGAGAGCATGCAGCTTGGAGCTGCTCACAGATCTATGTGTAACACAGACAAAATGGATCCCAAAGTCCCCAGGATTTTTGGTCGCGTGCAGCTTGTTCCAGAGGTGCATTATACCTAGCAGAAAGAGATTATGTTTATGCAGCAGTGTACAAATTAATTGTCTATAAGTCTTTTTTCATATGCTAGATGAATTGTGAAAAAGGCAATACTCTTACTCATCTTCATCTCTTCTTGTGACTGATGAGCATCTAAACAGAAAAATGTATTGCTATAACTTTGAGCATGTTTTAGGCTATCTCAGCATACATTTCCTGAAAACAGGACAAAGTGGAGAAGACCACTGTCCTTTTTAAGACTGGCTTATATTCATGAAAACCAGTATTTCTTAGTTGCTACTATAATCACAAAGAGAAAATTATTAACAAGTATTTCTTTCTTTCTTTGTTTCTTTCACTTATCAGTTAAAAAAACCAAAGAACTGTGTTACAGGACTGTAGTAGTAATAATGTATTCTCTCCTTCAGTCTAAAAAGAAGTTTGTCCTGTATCCTAGGAGAGCAATTTAGCTGCCTGTTAAGGTATAATGAAGGAAAATTTTGATTTGGAAAAATCTGTTACTTAAACTTAGAAACCCAAGATATCAAATTTTAAAACAGCGCTTGTTTGCTGCTGTGCTTGTCACTTAAGACCTGTTTCTAGCTGCACATGTGTACCAAGTAAACCAAATTTCAGGCTAGATCAGTCTGTAGACTCTCTGGATAAAACTATATCTAGTGGACTAGTATGACTGGAGTATCTTTCTACTTGTTCTAATTTTCTTGGGTAAGGTCATGGCTGATACTATACACGCTCTTTGGCCAGGAACATGAGGGTTGTACTACCAGTTTTAACATGTCCCACTAGGATGGTGGAGTTTCCTTACAAAAATATCAGTGCAGAATTTCACATGAAATTCTTTTAAAATTCATATCTGACATTTTTCAGTTAGTAATTTGGGTTCTCATTCAAAGTACTGTCCACTTTTTCTAGTATGTTTTGTCTGGTGCAACAGAGGAACTGTAGAGGTATAAGAAAATAATGACCTGTCTGCAGAGAGCTACCATGAATCCTTTACACGGCTGAAAAGAGTACCAGTGTGACGTCGGTTTTCTGTGTGGCAGGAGCTAGGATTTCACTGTAAATCATAAGTCAACACAGTTTCTGTGAAGAGTTGCATCCAAGTTAGAGATGATAACACCATTACTGACAAAATATTACAGATCCGTATAGAGCTGGAACACAAAATAGAAAACAGACTTGTCCACTTCTGACCAGTCTGTGTTGGTATCATATGGAAAAAAGCAGCGTACAGTACACTGAGCCACCTATCTCCCATCTCTGCGAAGTGCAAGCACATCACCTGCCCTTATTGGTCCCATAGCCTCGTTTTACGTGCCCCATCACACAGAGCAATGACAACCTTCCAGGCTTTTCCCAGCTTCTACTGTAGGACAGTACTTGCATCCCACAGATAAGGGCCTTCTTTATATGTCTTCTAGTAGTTGAATTTAAAGTATTCTCAAATTGGCCACTTCAATCACCTTTTCAATCAAGTTATCTGCTGTACCATCATAATTCCCCTTTAATCACTGTTGGACCTGCTGATAAAAAGTGACCTGGGGCAATTTGCAACTCCTGTGCTCTGTATGTGAATGAAAATGAAAATCTATTTACAATTTCTGGGTTCTGAGCTGCTACAAGGAGTTCCATAAATGAATATAAAAGGCCAAGCTCTGCAATATTTAAATGGCTTAAAATCAGTCACTGAATTTGGCTTGATGTATCCAAAAAGATTTTGAAAAAGTGCATGTTGCAAGGTTGTATCTACTTATGACCAGTTTTGATATAAATCCCCTGTTTTTCAGGAAATTAGATGATACTGGCCCCACAACAACAAAACTCTTCGAGTACATATGATTCTACAGACACGAGAATTACAGGGGAATTTTGGAAGAAAGCTTTATTCCCTCTCTTCAGTTGCTTGACTTTTGTTAGAGTTGTATGAAGACCCTAGGATGCCATGCACTAAGGCTTGTGGGGAAATTAGGTTTCTTTTATCTGGTTTCTTCTGCAGCTTCATTAACTTATCTGGAGTTGCAGAGGATATAGTTAGGTTCAGAACTCAAGCCAGCAGTTTTACTGCTGATACTTCCATCAAGAAAGGGTCAAATGAGTAGGCAGCTTTTATATGACTCCAGAAAGAAGTTTGAATAGGTAGACTGATTTAGGCATGGTTAACATGTGACATAAAGGCTGCTCATATATTGACATGACCTTTCATGAAGCAAATTTGGAGAAATAAACTGTACAGTCTCTTCAGCCCTATCCCTGTCCCTGCTCTGAAAACACCAATATTTGGCATGTAGAAATGTCCCTGATACTGTTTCAGAGAAAATTCTCCAGTTTCATTCTGGAGAATGAAACTAGATTTTGACACCTTCATTAATGAAAATATTAAATGACAGACAAGTGCTTTTCACTAGAAATGGAGTGTGATTCATATCTGAAAAAACAAGGCAGTAGGCTGTCTCTATATAAAAACATGATAAAGCCAATTCCTCACCCAAATTCTCAGTGATGAATTTCATATGATAGATGATGCAGAACTACCTGTCAAAATCCACAGTTTGATTTTTCCAGTCAGATCAAGTCTCTCTCAGTGTGCTCATCCCTCCTCATGCTCCTCTCTGTCATATGCTGCTCTCTGATGGTTTAATTCCCACTGGGTTCCCCACTAATGCAGAATCACAAGGAGATCCCAAGCAAGAAAATGAAGGTAGCTTGTGACAGCCTTCCCCAGGAATGAGACCAATAGGTATGTCTAGTTCTCACTTCCTCTTCTTTGCCTTCACAATCCTACCTACAAAACCTGTTCCATAGATTTGAGATTTAAGGGATTAAGTTCACAGAGACCACAGGACATCCCATGAAGAGCTTTTGCCACCTAGCAATGTTTCTGCTCCCCATCCCTTTCACCCTTCTGTAGGCAGGGAGCAGCATGGGAGTGAATAAGATTCCTGCCCAACTGAAGTCAAATGGAAATTTATTGACTATAAGGGGGGCAGGATTTAATTCCATATTGGCATCTGAAAATAAAGTCTAACAGCAAGAACAGTGACAGCAACAATATAGGAACTCTACAGAAAAGACTAAACACCAAGTACAAATCAGCTTTAGCACTGAACTCACAATTGGAAGAAAATGAACGTAAAGTCACAATTAATTGGTTAAAGAATGAAATCACTCTTCAAAATTATAAAAAAAAATAATTATCTCTACCACTTTGACAATAACCCAGTAATTTATTTGAGGAGTTGCCGTACAGCTGTCAAAATTATATCACTTTCAGGACAGAACATCTGTTGTTGGTGGATGGGCTAGGAACACCAAATATAACCTAGAGTTTATTTTCCAAATACAATTCACATTTTATATCCCATGAGAAGTGCTCTTCACCTTTATGAACTTTCTTGGCTCAGCAAAATGGAGCTGGTTTATGTTGTTGGGGTTTTTTTAGGTTTGTTTGTCTATTTTTTTAAGAAGGGTGGAGAGAACATGCCTGAAGATACTTTTAAAAGAGAATGATAAGATTATCCTCAGATGTGTTGCAAGTATTTTTGTGGGGTTTTTTGAATTACCATATTATCCATAGATAGTCAACACCCTCCAGTCTTTAATCCAACAAAAGCATCCTGTGTACTAACAAAACTGACTTGGATGTATTTATCTGAATTTTTTTCTTCTACTTTCAGAGCCCTGAGGATCTAAACATAAAAAAAAAAAAAAAATTAATCTGGCTCTTTGCTTTGCAGCATTGCTTTGTATGGCAGAAAATGACAGAAAATCAGTGCCACTGGGTTTCAGTCAAGCTCCTCTAGGTATAAACTGAAAACCAAACATATACCAAGTAGGTAGAGTTTCTAATGAAAATGCTTCTTCATGGGTTCAAAGATAGTAAGTTGCATGATAGCTAACATACTGGGTAATACAATCTTCAAAATGCAATTGCAAATTTTCTCCCAGAAGGCTTTATTCATGAAGGCCGTGGCACTGCATGAACATGTACTCATAGGAAAATGTTGTCATTTCCAACATCCAGCAGACACTAACCAGCACTTGAAAAGGAACCTTTTCTATAAAAAGCATTTGGGCTGCCAACCTGATTATGCAATACGTCCTCTTTATGTGTATGTACTATACAGAAAGAGAAATATCAATGAAAATTATTGCAAAAACTTGGGGGGATTTCCAAAACTGTAGGTTAATATAAATCATGGCAATTTACTCCTAAATAAGGGGCGAAAGCAACTGTGAGATCAGTGTAACACTTACAGCCTCTTGTCTTGAGGGAGTTGTGGCCACAGTGCTTATACTCATCATCTGCAGGGGAACAACATTCACTCACTGCAAGATTAATTTTGATTTTAGTGATATTTTATTCTCGCTATTCCTTACAGAGCATTTTCTGCTTCAGGAGATGTGGTTTCTTTACTAACCACATATTTGCTGGCCAGAGGATTTATGTATTACTCTGTAATCAACTGTCCTTGCATATAGTCTCTAGATTATCAAATGACAACTTCTTTTTCTTTATTTTATCTTTTTAAAAGAAAACTAAGTGGTGATTTAAGTAAAATCTGAAGTAACTTTTTATGATAGTTTAAGGACAAAAAATACAGTTTGCTGTATTTTACCTTTAGCACATTTAAACAATCTTTCGGTTTTGGTTTTGGTTTCTTTTTTTTTTTTTTCCAATTGTACCTTCAGAAACACGAGGAAGGATTTGGTTTAAAAATAACAAAGGTAAAAAACTGGATGTAACCTCTTTAACAGAATGTACCACAGTTCTTCTGTTTGCTGTGTTGACTTTGTTGTTTATAATGCATTGCGTGAGCACATTCACCATGTACTGAAGTGTGTGTTTGTGTGTATGGGGTGTGGGTAGGGGGAAATCTTTTTATGGAAAAAGAAGTTGTGAACATGAAATATGAAGCAACATCTAATGAAAACTTTCTTTTTAAGTGCAATATATTTATTTCTGCTAGAAATATAATATCAACATTATGTAATATTTGAAGCATTAAATGTTATTTGTAAACAGCTTAAAATTATATATATATCACAAAAACTGTACAGAAGTGCAAATGTGTGGATATTCAGTTTCTTTCATTAAAATATTGGGTGTTTTGATATATCATTCTTATTTAGCCAAATCTTTTTGCTTCTGTTGTTTTTTCTCTCACCAAGTCACTCAGTGCAGTGGAACCAGCAACAGATTTTTCTGAGAGTGCACAAAATTCATCAGGG